CTGGTTGGGGGTATGGGTTCTGGGGTGGGGCTGGGGTGAGGACTTTGGGGTGTAGGAGGGTGCTCTGGGCTGGGATCGAGGGGTTCGGAGGGCTAGGGCAGGGGTGCGGGAAGGGGTGCAGGTTCTGGCTGGGAGTGTGGGCTCTGGGGTGGGGCTGGGGATGAGAGGTTTGGAGTGCAGGAGGGTGCTCCGTGCTGGGATCGAGAGGTTTGGAGAGTGGGAGGGAGATCAGGATGGGGGCAGGTGGTTGGAGCGTGGGGAGAGGCTCAGGGGTTCAGACTCCGAGCGGCACTTACCTGGAAACAGCGTCATGTCCCTTCTCCAGCTCCTATGCATGGTGCGGTCACTGCCCTGGCTGGAGCACTGGAGCAGGACCATGCCACTTGGTGGGGCCCCCGGCTGGAGTGAGGCCGAGCCGTGTGGTGTGGCCCGACCCAGCGCTCTGGGTGGAGTGGGGCCAAGCCGTATTGTGTGGCCCCCAACCCAGCGCCCTGGGTAGAGCACTGGAGTAGGGCCGAGCCGTGTGATGCAGCCCCCGACCCAGTGCCCCTGGAGCGCCAGAGCAGGGCAAGCCCCAGACCCTGCTCCCCAGCGGGCGCTCGCAGGCCGGCTTAAAACGGCTCGGCCCACAGGCCATAGTTTGCCCACCTCTGGGTTAAGGACTATTTAGAAATGCTGGACATGCACAAGTCCATGGGCCGGATCTCGTGCATCCGAGGATGCTGAGGGAGTTGGCTGATGTGATTGCAGAACCATTGGCCATTATCTTTGAAAACTCATGGTGATCGGGGGAGGTCCTGGACTGTTGAAAAAAGGCAAATATAGTGCCCATCTTTAAAAAAGGGAAGAAGGAGAATCCGGGGAACTGCAGACCTCATCTCAGTCACTGGAAAAATCATGGAGCAGGTCCTCAAGGCATCCATTTTGAAGCACTTGGAGGAGAGGAAGGTGATCAGGAACAGTCCACATGGATTCACCAAGGGCAAGTCATGCCTGACCAACCTGATTGCCTTCTATGATGAGATAACTGGCTATGTGGATATGGGAAAAGCGGTGGATAGAATATACTTTGACTTTAGCAAAACTTTTGATAAGGTCTCCCACAGTATTCTTGCCAGCAAGAAGTATGGATTGGATGAATGGATTATAAATTGGACAGAAAGCTGCCTAGATCATCAGGCTTAGGACATAAGAATCCCATGAACTGCTACAGGCTGGGGACAGACTGGCTAAACGGAATTAATCAAAAAAGGACCTGGGGATTACAGTGAGTGAGAATCTGGATAGGAGTCTGCCAAGAAGGCTAACGGCATATTAGGCTGCATTAGTAGGAGCATTGCCAGCAGATCAAGGAAAGTGATTATTCCCCTCTATTGAGCACTGGTGAGGCCACATCTGGAATCCTGCGTCCAGTTTTGGGCCCCCCACTACAGAAAGGATGTGGACAAATTGGAGAGAGTCCAGTGGAGGGCAACAAAAATGATTAGGGGGCTGGGACACATGACAGATGAGGAGAGGCAGAGGGAACTGGGATTATTTAGTCTGCAGAAGAGAAGAGTGAGGTGGGATTTGATAGCAGCTTTCAACTACCTGAAGGGGGGTTCCAAAGAGGATGGAGCTCGGCTGTTCTCAGGGTGGTAGATGACAGAACAAGGAGTAATGGTCTCAAGTTGCAGTAGGGGAGGTCTAGGTTGGATATTAGGAAACACTATTTCACTAGGAGGGTGGTGAAGTACTGCAATGGGTTACCTAGGGAGGTGGTGGATTTTCCATCCTTAGAGGTTTTTAAGGTCCGGCTTGCCAAAGCCCTGCCTGGGATGATTTAGCTGGGGTTGGACTAGATGACCTCCTGAGGTCTCTTCCAACCCTAATCTTCTATGATTCTATTGCTATCCATCATGTGACAAAAAGGGCAGGTTTTTACTGCTGGTGAAACTAAACTAAATAATTTCTAGTCATCGACCAAGGAAGCTACAAGTCCCACCAAAATAAAACAACTGGATGTATTTAATCTGTGGACAAAGCACATTGATAAATGTGCATGTGTAACCCACTCAGGGTGGCGCTCTGTCCCCCTCTAATGGTAGCTGGGCCATATGTAAGGGGCAATAAGCCTGCTGCAGGGTTGGCTAACAGAGCTAGGACCTTCAGCTCAGGCCAGAGAGGCTCACTCTTTAAGAGTCAGATTCAATCAATCACCTCTACTGGTGACCTACTCAGGGTGTTGTGTTATGTTACATATGCAACACAGAATCATAGAAATGTAGGGCTGGAAAGGACCTCAAGAAAGTCATCAAGTCCAGCCCCCTGCACTGAGGCAAGACCAAGTAAACCTAGACCATCCCTGACAGCTGTCTCTCCAATCTATTCTTAAAAACCTCCAATGATGGGATTCCACAACCTCTCTTGGAAGCCTATTCCAGAGTTTAACTACCCTTATAGTTAGGTTAGATATTAGGGGGAAATTTCTAACTCCTTTGCTGCACATTAAACCCATTACAGTTTATCTCACCACCAGGGAACATGGAGAACAACTGATCACAGTCCTCCTGAGAACACCCCTTAACCTATCTGAAGGCAGTGATCAGGTTGCCCCCTCAATCTTTTTTTCTCAAGACTAAATATGCCCATTTTTTTTAGCCTTTCCTCTGAGGTCAGGTTTTCTAAACCTTTGATCATTTTTGTTGCTCTCCTCTGGACTCTCTCCAATTTGCCCATGTCTTTCCTAAAGTCTGGCAGCCAGAACTGGACACAGGACGCCAGCTGAGGCCTCACCATTGCCAAGTGGAGTGGGACAATTACCTCATGTGTCTTACATACAACACTGCTGTTATAAACTCCAGAATATTTGCCTTTTTCACAGCTGCATCACATTGTTGACTCATACTCAAATTGTGATCCACTCGAACCCCCAGGTCCTTTTCACCAGTACGACCACCGAGCCAGTTATTCTCCATTTTGTAGTTGTGCATTTGATTTTTTCTTCCTAAGTGAAGTAATTTGCACTTCTCTTTACTGAATTTCATCTTGTTAATTTCAGACCAATTCTCCAATTTATCAAGTTCATTTTGAATTCTAATCCTGCCTCCCAAAGTGTTGCAACTCCTCCCAGCTTGGTGTCACCTGCAGATGTAGTAAGTGTACTCTCCGCTCCATTATCCAGATCACTGATGAAAATACTGACAAGTACCAGATGCAGGACTGACCCTGTGGGACCCCATTAGATGCATCCTCCCAGTTTGACAGCAAACCATTGATAACTACTCTTTGAATAGAATCTTTCAACCAGTTGTCCCCACATTATAGGAATCTCATCTGGATCACTTTTCCCTATTTTGCTTATGAGAAGGTCATGTGGAACTGTGTCAAAATCCTTACTAAATATCAAGATCTATCCCTTCTACACTCCCCCCCCCGTCCCCACCAATCCACCAGGCCAACACTGGTACCTGATGCCAGAAAGTTGCCAATGTGAGTTTTGCAAAGGATGGGCATTGCTAACATGATATGTTAGAGAGAGCTGCATTTCACCACAGCTGAAACCACATGAACAGCGTGATGGAGAATTCTAGTTCAGCATATGGGGCCTGATGTGATTAGCTGCCCTAGAGCTGGTGCTGGAGAGCCCCAGGCTCGCAATACAGGTTGAACTATTCCTGAGTCCTACTCCAGACAGTAACAGATACACAGAGATGGGAAGGGCAGGAGAAAGGTTAAAAACCAGTCTCTAAGTACTTACAGGGCCCTACTCACTGTAATATCACGAACTGCAGAGGAGCTATCCCCACCGAGAGGAGGGGAAGCATTATCTTCACTGAACAGATGGGAAACTGAGGGCCAAGGTAGGGAAAGTGACTTGCCCAAGGTCACATAGGAAAGTTGGTGGCAGAGCTAGGAATTCAGCCCAGGTTTGAGTTTCCATCCCAGGATACCTACCTCCCCCTTTGTGACCTTCCTGTGATGGTCCAAGGTTGTGGCTCCTAAGTACTAGGACCCCGCTGTGTTCAGTGTTGTACAAACGCAGATGACATCTGCCCAAAGCAGCTTACAGTCTCTTCCAGGAGCAAACCGGCCTGGCTCAGGCCTTTCCGAAGGGCTGAACACCCGTTAAATCCTACTTCAGAACAGGGATTAGAAGCCCAAGTTCCCACAGACTGCAGGGCATTCGGGAACTCTCTCCTGGCAACTCCCTGGCCTGTAGCTGAGTGCCTCAGCAAGAGAGACAGTCTGTGCTGAAGAGGCAAATCAAAGCCTGAAGTGCCACATAGGTCAGACAGTTCCAGAGAGGGAAGGAGGAAGGGAGGCCAAGCCGTGCTGCCCCCCCCACACCAACCAGCAGAGCTGCCCAGCCCTGAGGGGGAGACACTGTCCCTCTCCTAGGTGCAGCAGCCGCACTCCGGGCTAGCTCCTGGCAGCGTTGTCCCTCCCATAGGCACAATGCCCCTGGCACTTCCCCTAGGGAGGCGTGGCCATGGCCCCATACTAGGGGCAGTTCCTATGAGGCAGCCTCTGGTGCTGAACTTGAGATTCACCCAAAACAATGGGATGGGCCTGATCCCCCTAAAGACAATGGAACTGACCAGGGCCTTAAGAACTGACTTGTCTCCTCTTCCTCAGGCCTGGTCCACATGCCACTTTTGACCCAATGTAACTGTTTTGGTTCAGGATGTGATTTTTTTAGCAAAATAGTTAAATCGGCACAACCCCCACAGTGGGGGCTGTTATACTGATGCCTGATAGCTTATTTCCCTTCCATTATAGGAATAATCTATACTGGTATAAGTGTATCCACACTGGGTGGGTGCTGTCCTGCTTTAACCTAGACCAGTGCAGTGAAAGCAGTAAAACTGTTGTGGATAGACAAAGCTTCAGAATATACAATTATTCTGTTTCTAGTTCTATTATTACAAACCATGCCTGCGTGAGAGAGTCAGAGAGAAAAAACAATCGATGGTTTGGAGCCAACAGTTTAGATTCTTCTCTGAAATAAAGAAGAGGAGAAAAATGTATTCATAGTTTATTCGATTGTCACAAAGAAGTGGTGAATACATTCTGCTGACTTATTATTTTGCTGTTATTTGCCTTGGTGGAACTGGCTAAATAGTAAGAAAAATTATTTGCAAGTGATTTATTCAACAAGAGTGAAAAGATTTGTCAGATAAATTATTTGTTGCAAATCATTAGTTCACATATTTAGTCACCAGGACACACACAACTATTGTGCTGGCTCCTAAAGCAAATACTGGCGAAACCCCATGGATTTATAAGGCATATTCACTGGGGTCGTCTTCTGCTGCTTCCTTATAATAATATCAAGGAGGAGAAAAGCATGTTATTGAAATTTGTAAACTTCTGTAGGTTTATTTTCTTGCCACATTCCATGGCTCTCCACGATCCAGGTGCAATGCAAAGGGGTGTTACACTCAGCGATCTGTTTACCCTTTTTCACCTTTATAGAATAGGTTGACACATTTACCATGCCTACTACATTACTGAGGGATTTGTAGGAGAATAAATTCTTGGGGTTCACTTTATGAATAGTTTTTGTTTTTTTTTTTTATCAACTGCAACCCCTAGGTTGAAGTACTTGTCTCTCACATAACTTCCAATTCTTCCAATTCCTCCAGTCAGCACTTGGGCCAGCAGACGTTCATGAACCACAACATTGATGACTTCTTCAGTTTTGTTGGTAACTTTAATGATGTAGCTCAAATGATCAGGTACAGAACTGGATCAGAAAGGAAATGATTAGCGTCAGTCCTGCCGGCAGGAAGAGTGCTTCGAAAGCTTCAGATTCATTAACAACGTTTTCATGCACACGCTAACCCCCATTCCTCCCACACCTTTACAACTCTCCAGAGAAAGCACCAAATATAGACAAAATAGCAATGGACCAAAACTGGGACCTTGTATATGGACACATCATCTTCTCCTGGCCTCACAGTGAGCGACTCGGATCAGAAGTGGATCTAGAACGGAACCACCCTGATGTTTGAGTGTGGCCATGCAAAAATAAGCTAAATATATGATGTGGCACAGAACCCGACCCTTCCATCCACTCCCCTGGTTTGTCCATAATAAGAAGGGGACAAAAGCAGAGACTTTTATTGAACACCCCCAGGTCTGGTAGTTTAGATAAAATTGAAGCAAGGTCCTAACAGTCTCCTGGGTTGGGGGTTGATTACGCCAAACCAAAGCTTAATGGATCAAGATTTGCAAAACCCAAACCAGCCTCTTTAGTCCAGCTACATAGGTTAGGGGTCTGGCCAAGATTTACATGCGACTGTGAGGAATTAAGCGCAGACTGTTTCTTCCCTCCTTTCTATACTATTCCATCAGAGGAGAACAAATAAGACACTCAATGAGTTAGGAGATTTTCAAGGGCACCAATGGTAGTTAGCCACCTAACTGCCAATGAAAGTCAATGGGAATTGAGTACCTAATGGCCTTTGAAATAAAATCTCCTTTGAAGTCCTTTGCATCTAGAGCACGTAAAAAGATATGGACCAAGATTCCCAAAAGAAGCAAGAGTGAGGCACCTAATAAATGGCCTAATTTTCAAAAGGGCTTACCCACCGCACAGCTTCGTGTGACATCAGTATGGCTTCACGGGATGGAATTTTTAAAAAAGCAAAGGAAACAAACGGAAGGTGTTCCATTAGAGGGACTTTATTCAGGTTGCCAAGTCAGGTGCACAGAAGTTAGAAAATGCCAGAATGAGCTGGCTTGTGCAACCTCAATTCAGCCCCTTGTGCGTATGCATCATGACAGCCTTTAATGATGTGATTACTATTTATCCACAGGACTAGAGCTTCATTCAGTACACAGGACAGACAGGGAATGAGGCAGAAGCTGTAAAGAAAGGAAATGTGTTAAGGCATTTGACTGGAACCCGGGGAGCTGGGTTCTGTCCCTAGCTCTGGCTCAGACTTTCTACGTGATAATGGCAAAGGCTGTATCATAATGCATATGCCAAATTCAGATTGAAGAGGCAATAATAATTCTGGCGTTTTCTGACTTGTAACCTTAATGTAGGATTTTGTATATAATTAGTGATTATGAATGGATTTTAAAAAACACCGTAGTCTGGTTACCAGCATCATCAACTCTCACAATTTGATTGCAAATCTCATGATATTTGGTATTTGTCTGAAAGCCCCAGCTCTTGGAGTCATGTGATTACACAACAATCTCAGCTTTCATTTTGTTTTTAAAGTTAGTTTCTAGCTCTTATGGTTGCAGAGAAAAGCTTGAAAACATGAACTGAGTGAGACCTAAGGGCTGAGGGACCAAATGGCAAAAAAAAAAGGGCACAACATTTTATTTTCATCATGCCAGTTGCGTGATTTCATGGGGTCTGACTGGTGAGTTTTGAAGACTTGAGGTTGGGGATTCTGGGTTACAGTGATAGATCTGAAGGAGAAAAATCAACTTACCCAAATAGTTTGCGTATCGACGGGTTATCTTCCCGGTAGATTTTGTTGTCATCCACAATCCAGGTGCAATGCAGAGGAGTTTGACACACAGCCACCCACTCATCCTCCTCTCTTGTCACCATAATGTAGTACCATTCTGCTCCTGTCCACCCAACTCCATAGGTGAAAATTTTCGAGAGACCAACTTCGTTTACAATGGACGTTTTCCCTGATAAAACTCTCAGCTCTTCCTTAGTGAACAATGACTTGAGGTTGTCGTAGATAGGCACGACCAGAGAATTACCCAGCGATCGTAATACCGGATTGGTACTAACAACAACGACATTTTAGATGCTAAACCGGAGCACAGAAGAAAATCATTAGCGAGTCAGTCCTGGTGCCTCAAACCCTTGATTTTGATGAAGTCAAGAAGTTTTCTGGATTTAAAATAAAACTGTTTCTTATGATTAACCATGGGAACAAGCTACCAAGGGAAGTGGCGGATTCTCAATCTCTTGATGTCTTCAAATCCACACTGGCCACCTTTCTGGAAGCTGCTTCAGCCAAACAAGTTAGTGGGCTCCACAGAGGGGTAACTGGGTGGGATGTAATGGCCTGTGCAATACAGGTATCAGATTAGATGATCTAATTGTCCCTCTTGGCCTTAAAACCTATGAGTCTATGGCTGATCTCGCGCAGAGGAAATGCTCGTGAGCACTTCCCCCTCCGGAGACGTATTAGGTTTAATGTCCATTCTCATTGCATAATAAGGGGTGGAGTCGACCTGGGATCTCGATAGCATCCAAGCTTGTCTGGGAAATGGCCTGGATTTCTGCCAGCGCTGAGTAGTAAGCCGATCTGGCTTGTGAACAAATACAACTAGAACACAGTGCTACCAATCCGGCCTGGACGCTTGTTCCAGAAGATACGCCCTCGTTCCACAGGCTGCAGAAACTGGAAGGATCCGAGAGATGAATCACTGGGTGACATTCTCTGGCCTGTGCTACACAGGAGCTCAGAGATGATCTAATGGTCCCTCCTGGCCTTACAATTCATGAGAAGGGACTGTTAGGTGCCGCAAGATGGGCAGAGCTCAGACGATGGGCAGCCAGAACTGGGTCTGAGCAATGGGTGAGGGCCAGATCCTGGCGCTCTGACATTCACCTAATCCCCTTGAGTCCAGTGGCATGTAAGTGACATCTGAGGGGTGATGCCTGGGGGGAAGGAGGGCAGGGCTGGCTGCACATCAGTGTGCTACAAGGTTTAGCGTTGATCCTGCCTACACTTACTCACCTGAGCAGCCCCATTTAAATCCCACTGACCTGAGAACAGGGTTCAAGGGTCTGATCCGACAGACCCAAACCTGATTCTGACTTGACTTCTGGCTTCACAGCTGTATACCCAGACCTGCGCCGTGCCCTGCCTCACACGCGACACTCCTGCCTTTGGCCGTGTGGTCACACCCGCCTGCACTTCTGATACCAAGTCCGGCTGAGGCCGAGCGAGAGGCTCTGTCCCGGAGACACACTGCGGGTTAGAGGGGGCCTGCAAGGCTACAAGTTTGAGGCTAGGCTCTTCCAATATCCTCTATTAATACTTCTGGGCCATTCACAGCCCTTCGTATTAACCCAGCTGTAGGGAGACTGAGTGGCCTCCCTCCAAGAGGGAGAGCGAGGGACCATTACACGCCCCTTGGAGGGCAGAGCCTAGATCGCTCTCCCCCCTCGCTGGAAGTACCGGGGCATGGCTGGAGGTATAAAGGGCCGGCCCTGCAGCACAGTTGGGGGAGAGCCTGCAGAGGAGAAGGACGCTCTGCCTGTTCTCCCGTGTCCCCTGGCTGTTCCCAATTCTCAAACGCTGACAAAGACTGGAGGTCGCAGGTACCAAACCCCGGGGAGGCAGGAAGTGGCCCAGGGGAAGCCCCAGAGCAGCTGGCTGCAGAACCAGGGTGGCTCCTTTGGCGTGTTGCAGCTGGATCCCCGCCGATGCAGAGGCAGGCAATCCTGCCCCTGCCAGTGCCCTGGAGTAGGGTGGGCCCTCATCCCCCTGCCAACCCACCTTGGGTGATTGAGCCCCTACGCTGTGCAAGGAGGCTCTAGCTCTGAAGAGGAGCGTCCCTTACCAGTCACCTTAGAGACTGTTTGCTGGTCTCGGCCCAGGACACAGCCAGCCCTGACAGACTGTGTTTAAGGGCTGACTACTTGAGCTACTCAAGCCCAGGCTAGAGCCTGATAGCGACTCTTCATCGCCCAGCCCTATTGCGTGCTCTTGGCTGTCTTGCAGACGCTGGTCCTGGCCAGACAGGGCCGACCTGAGTGGCCTCCCTCCGAGCGGGAGAGCGAAGGACCATTACACCAGCCCACCGCCCCCTGCCCACTGTACAGGATACTGAGCGGGGACACCGGTCACTGCGTGCAGCTAGGAACAGAACCCAGGTCTCTAACAGGACAGACCCAAAGCTCATCTCCTGCACCACTCCTCTCCCCGAGCCAGGCACAGAACCCAGGAGTCCCAACAGACAACATGGCAGAGCTCTCTCTCAAATAGTCATGTATCCCCCTGGCAGAGTGCATCTCCCCCCACCAGTCCCATGGGGTGATCCACATACAGGATAACAGCCGGCTTCTTCTGCCAGTCATTCCTATTGCGCAAATGGGAGAGGGGTCTGTGCTCTGGACCCAAAGATCCTGGGGTTAAATTCTGCAGATGACCCAGGCAGGGAAAAAAATAGTGTGTGCTCATGTAACCGTGTCCCAACAGCCCTGTGGGGCTGAAACGAGGGTGCATGTTACACTCCCACAGGTCAGGCTTTGCGGTCTGAGGAGAACCTTGCTCCTCGAGTTCCTCCTCGTCTTTAGGGAGCTTCCCGCAGGCATCCTGCAGCTGCAGATAGAGCACTCAGGACAGGCCCTCTCTGCCCACAGCCCCGCCCTGTGTTTTTAAAGGGGCAGCTCTGACAGCTGATGGATAGGAAGGATAAACAAAAATAGATCTGTGACTAGGGTTTTTGATTTCAAAAGGGCTGACTTTCAAAAATTAAGGAAATTAGTTAGGGAAGTGGATTGGACTGAAGAACTTATGGATCTAAAGGCAGAGGAGACCTGGGATTACTTCAAGTCAAGATTGCAGAAGCTATTGGAAGCCTGCATCCCAAGAAAGGGGAAAAAACTCATAGGCAGGAGTTGTAGACCAAGCTGGATGAGCAAGCATCTCGGAGAGGTGATTAAGAAAAAGCAGAAAGCCTACAAGGAGTGGAAGATGGGAGGGATCAGCAAGGAAAGCTACCTTATTGAGGGCAGCACATGTAGGGATAAAGTGAGAAAGGCCAAAAGCCATGTAGAGTTGGACTTTGCCAAGGTAATTAAAAGCAATAGTAAAAGGTTCTATAGCCATATAAATAAAAAGAAAACAAAGAAAGAAGAAGTGGGACCGCTAAACACTGAGGATGGAGTGGAGGTTAAGGATAATCTAGGCATGGCCCAATATCTAAACAAATACTTTGCCTCAGTCTTTAATGAGGATCTTAGGGATAAGGGTAGCATGACAAATGGGAATGAGGATATGGAGGTAGATATTACCATATCTGAGGTAGAAGCGAAACTCAAACAGCTTAATGGAACTAAATTGGGGGGCCCAGATAATCTTCATCCAAGAATATTAAAGGAATTGGCACGTGAAATTGCAAGCCCATTAGCAAGAATATTTTATGACTCTGTAAACTCAGGGGTTGTACCGTATGACTGGAGAATTGCTAACATAGTTCCTATTTTTAAGAAAGGAAAAAAAAGTGATCTGGGTAACTAAAAGCCTGTTAGTTTGACATCTGTAATATGCAAGGTCTTGGAAAAATTTTTGAAGGAGAAAGTAGTTAAGGACATTGAGGTTAATGTAATTGTAATTGGGACAAAATACAACATGGTTTTACAAAAGGTAGATCTTGCCAAACCAACCTGATCTCCTTCTTTGAGAAGGTAACAGATTTTTTAGACAAAGGAAACACAGTGGATCTAATTTACCTTGACTTCAGTAAGACATTTGATACAGTGCCACATGGGGAATTATTAGTTAAATTGGAAAAGATGGGGATCAATAAGAAAATTGAAAGGTGGAGAAGGAACTGGTTAAATGGGAGACTACCAGCGGGTCACACTGAAAGGAGGTTACTAGTGGACTTCCTCAGGGATTGGTTTTGGGACCAATCTTATTTAATCTTTTTATTACTGACCTTGGCACAAAAAGTGGGAATGTGCTAATAAAATTTGCGGATGACATGAAGCTGGGAGGTATTGCCATACAGAGAGGGACCGGGACATCATACAGGAAGATCTGGATGACTTTGTAAACTGGAGTAATAGTAATAGGATGAAATTTAATAGTGAGACGTGCAAGGTCATGCATTTAGGGATTAATAACAAGAATTTTTGTTATAAACTGGGGACGCATCACTTCGAAGTAACAGAGGAGGAGAAGGACCTTGGAGTATAGGTCAGCTCCCAGACTGCTGCGCTGGGCATCGCAAAATGGGAAGAGATGGCCAGCCCTCTGTGGAGAAAGAGGTGGTTAGGGACTATTTAGAAAAGCTGGATGTGCACAAGTCCATGGGGCCGGACGAGTTGCATCCGAGAGTGCTGAAGGAATTGGCGGCTGTGATTGCAGAGCCATTGGCCATTATCTTTGAAAACTTGTGGCGAACGGGGGAAGTCCCAGATGACTGGAAAAAGGCTAATGTAGTGCCAATCTTTAAAAAAGGGAAGAAGGAGGATCCTGGGAACTACAGGCCAGTCAGCCTCACCTCAGTCCCTGGAAAAATCATGGAGCAGGTCCTCAAAGAATCAATCCTGAAGCACTTGCATGAGAGGAAAGTGATCAGGAACAGCCAGCATGGATTCACCAAGGGAAGGTCATGCCTGACTAATCTAATCGCCTTTTATGATGAGATTACTGGTTCTGTGGATGAAGGGAAAGCAGTGGATGTATTGTTTCTTGACTTTAGCAAAGCTTTTGACACGGTCTCCCACAGTATTCTTGTCAGCAAGTTAAGAAAGTATGGGCTGGAAGAATGCACTATAAGGTGGGTAGAAAGCTGGCTAGATTGTCGGGCTCAACGGGTAGTTATCAATGGCTCCATGTCTAGTTGGCAGCCGGTATCAAGTGGAGTGCCCCAAGGGTCGGTCCTGGGGCCGGTTTTGTTCAATATCTTCATAAATGATCTGGAGGATGGTGTGGATTGCACTCTCAGCAAATTTGCGGATGATACTAAACTGGGAGGAGTGGTAGATACGCTGGAGGGGAGGGATAGGATACAGAAGGACCTAGACAAATTGGAGGATTGGGCCAAAAGAAATCTGATGAGGTTCAATAAGGATAAGTGCAGGGTCCTGCACTTAGGACGGAAGAACCCAATGCACAGCTACAGACTAGGGACCGAATGGCTAGGCAGCAGTTCTGCGGAAAAGGACCTAGGGGTGACAGTGGACGAGAAGCTGGATATGAGTCAGCAGTGTGCCCTTGTTGCCAAGAAGGCCAATGGCATTTTGGGATGTATAAGTAGGGGCATAGCGAGCAGATCGAGGGACGTGATCGTTCCCCTCTATTCGACATTGGTGAGGCCTCATCTGGAGTACTGTGTCCAGTTTTGGGCCCCACACTTCAAGAAGGATGTGGATAAATTGGAGAGAGTCCAGCGAAGGGCAACAAAAATGATTAGGGGTCTGGAACATATGAGTTATGAGGAGAGGCTGAGGGAGCTGGGATTGTTTAGCCTGCAGAAGAGAAGAATGAGGGGGGATTTGATAGCTGCTTTCAACTACCTGAAAGGGGGTTCCAAAGAGGATGGCTCTAGACTGTTCTCAATGGTAGCAGATGACAGAACGAGGAGTAATGGTCTCAAGTTGCAGTGGGGGGAGGTTTAGATTGGATATTAGGAAAAACTTTTTCACTAAGAGGGTGGTGAAACACTGGAATGCGTTACCTAGGGAGGTGGTAGAATCTCCTTCCTTAGAGGTTTTTAAGGTCAGGCTTGACAAAGCCCTGGCTGGGATGATTTAACTGGGATTTGGTCCTGCTTCGAGCAGGGGGTTGGACTAGATGACCTTCTGGGGTCCCTTCCAACCCTTATATTCTATGATTCTATTGATTGATCACAGGATGACTATGAGCCGCCAATGTGATGTGGCCGTGAAAAAAGCTAATGTGGTCTTGGGATGCATCAGGCGAGGTATTTCCAGTAGAGATAAGGAGGTTTTAGTACCGTTATACAAGGCACTGGTGAGACCTCACCTGGAATATTGTGTGCAGTTCCGGTCTCCCATGTTTAAGAAGGATGAATTCAAACTGGAACAGGTACAGAGAAGGGCTACTAGGATGATCCGGGGAATGGAAAACCTGTCTTATGAAAGGAGACTCAAAGAGCTTGGCTTATTTAGCCTAACCAAAAGACATCTGAGGGGAGATATGATTGCTCTCTATAAATATATCCGAGGGATAAATACCGGAGAGGGAGAGGAATTATTTAAGCTCATTACCAATGTGGACACAAGAACAAATGGATATAAACTGGCCACCAGGAAGTTGAGTCTTGAAATTAGATGAAGGTTTTTAACCATCATAGAATCATAGATCCGAGTTACTACAGAGAATTCTTTCCTGGGTGTCTGGCTGGTGAGTCTTGTCCACATGCTCAGGATTTAGCTAATCGCTGTCTTTGGGGTCGGGAAGGAATTTTCCTCCAGGGCAGATAGGCAAAGGACCTGGGGGGTTTTCTCCTTCCTCTGCAGCGTGGGGCACGGGTTACTTGCTGGAGGATTCTCTCCACCTTTAAGTCTTTAAACCATGAGTTGAGGACTTCAATAGCTCAGAGATAGGTTAGGGGTTTGTTACAGAAGTGGGCAGGTGAGGTTCTGTGGCCTGCGTTGTGCAGGAGGTCAGGCTAGATGATCATAATGGTCCCTTCCAACCTTAAAGTCTATGAGCTCAACGTACATCGAGTAACCAAAATAAAGCAGAAAACAAACCAAACCTGAACTGCTACATTCACCGTTTCACACCGTGTCTAGAGCCACATTTATTCCAGTGTCCTCGCAGATGGAGAATTCTGCCGGTTCCTAACTTTTGCGTTTAACATTTTTCTAACAGTTACTTTGAGATGTAATATACACGTGGACCTTCTCATCAATTAGCACTAATTAGGGGACTGGATGTTTTAGCACATTGCTAACCAGCTGCAGAGCCATTCACTGGTCTGAATCCAGCTCAGCCCAGTAGGGACTGAATGTTGTTCCCAGGTAATGGAGGTTTGGTGGCATCCATGAGATGAGTTTGCTGGGTCTCAGTTCCAGCTCCCACCTTCCACACTCATCACCAGGCAGTGCGCTAAGGGGCGGGCTCAGCTGACCTGCCCCCTCAGGCACCTACAGTGAGAATCCAGATCACATGGCCTCGTCCTACACCTGCTTGCACACACCAAGTGATGAGCACTGTATAAATACCATGGATTAGGAGATATTCTTGTGCTAGAACCTCAAAGTACTTCCGTGGGATCTTTGTGCATGGAGCAGTTGTAGAATTAAAGCCACAGAATTAGCTCCAGGACTAACGGGTTGTTCTCCACAGATCTGAAATGAAGACACGCAGCAAACCTGTCGAGTAAGCAGGGTTATTCGTACAGCGTCACCTCGCTGAGGACTCTACGGGTTTTACCTTACTGCAGCTTTCAGAAGTTCCGGGTCCCTGTGTCTGGGATGAAGCAGCTCGGCTTTGTTCCCTCTGAAGGCAGTTGCTGAAGTGCAACGAGAAGACGCTGCATGAGCTGAACACTGGCTAGAAAGGGCAGTGGGGGCAAGGAGTGAAACTCAAAGCTTAATGCTGCATCCAAGTTCTGAGAAATCACATGATTGAGGAAACGGAAAGTAAAAGTCTACTGCAAGGAATGCCCTCTGCTTCCTGAGAGGAACAGAAGCACAGATGCCCACACCCCCACCGCAAATCTAGGAAACTCTGCTGATTGGCTCCAACACCTTCTGGAGATGATGAACCCAACTTGAAAGGGGGAAGGAACAAACATCCCCACACTCATGCTCCCCCGACAGCTCCTTACATGGGGCCCAACTCCTGTGGCCTGAGTTGGGATGGGGAGAGGAAAGCACCTGCCGTCCACCTTATCTATAGCTACCAGGGGCACCTTTATCCGTGATTCCAGGGGCTAGTTAGGCACCTGAAATACCTGTGGAAAAAAAGGGTGTTTTTTTTTTTGTTTTTTTTTTGCAGATAACTTAGAAATGAGCTGCCAGGAGCACTGTATCTAATTCATGTATAAAGAAAGAAAAATAAACAGACCAGACCTCTGTGCTGCTTTTCATGCTTTCATCCTTCCCCATTGCCCGGGACCGATCACTGGAGTCTCAGAGAACTGGCCACCTTGGTTTTGCTCCCATCTATCAGACGCCTCTTTGTTTGCAGCAGAGACAGAGGCCCTCAGAGACCTGGGCTCTACTTCTCCCACCGACTTCCTGTCTGATCCCTGGCCAGTGCCTTAGGGGCAGAGATTCAAAGGTTTTTAGGCACCCAAAGATGCAGCCAGGCATCTAGTGGGGCTTACAAAGCACCGAACCTTCTAGGTGCTTTTAAAAATCTCACTAGGTGTCTAAATACTTTTGAAAATCTGGCCTTTAGTCTGTGTGCCTCAGTGGCCCATCTGTACAATGGGGATAAACAGCATTGCTCTACCTCAGACAGGCTGTGAGGAGAAACCAGTTAGACATTGCAAGGGGCTCAGATACTACGGTGATGAAGCCACATGCTGTCCCTTCCCCTGGTTTTGGCCCCTTCTTTTCACACCTCCCTCTGTTCTGAATGTACCTGTGGCTGTAGGTCTTCGGACTCCCCTTCCTTGTCTTCAAACCCCACTCCCATCCCCCAGGGATTCCTGCTTTACAGGCTCATCTGAGGGTATGTCTACACTGTGAAGTTGTCGACAAAACTTTTGTCTTTCATGGGTACTTTAGAACCCCCCCCCCCCCGAGAAAGACAAAAGTTTTGCCAATGCAAGGGGCAGTGTGAATGCGGCTTTGTCGACAGGAGACAAAGCTAACGCCGCTCACGGGGTGGGAAGTATTTTGTCGGCACCAACACAGCGTTTACACACGCTGACCTGTTGCGACAAGGCTGTCTCGACACAGCCTTGTCGCTAAAAGCTGCGTGGTGTAGACAAGCCGAGACTTCCAGATCCTTCATTTAAATCACCAGCCCTTTCTTATCTTAATCACCCTGCCTCTGTGTGTAAACAAACTGCTGAGTCCCTGCCCCGGGGCGCAAGCTGGGAACAGCACCTCTCCTCTGCAGAGCTCACACTCCACACGCAGGCTGTGCTCAGACACTCGGGAGGGGCTGAACCCCCTCCCCCCATACCCTTTAAATGGTGCCCATGACAGCTACCCCCCAGCGCCCTCCAGGCTTAGCACGACCCCTCTGAGCAGCGCTCTTACAGGCGGCACGAATCACCCGACCCTGTAGAGTCTGAGGCATGCAGGCGCAAACCTGCCCCACACCGAGCTCCCCCAGGGCAGGGGGAAGCCTGTCTGCCTGTGCCCAGGAGGCTCTGCAGGGCACAGGACAATCAAAGCAGGGAAATGCAGAACGGGCCCAAAGGGAAGATCCCTGGGGCGGGTGCCGCTCCCAGGATTCCAAGTGGTGGATGGAGACCAAAGCTAGAGCCCTTTCAGGCATGGCCAGCGTGGGTCCCGGAAAGGAGATGGGGAACTGAAAGCAGCTGACCCTCCACCACTCAGGCTGGAGGCTGCGTCCTGGCCCCTCCCTCTCTCGGTGAAGTTAGGGGTGTTGGGCACATCAGAGCTCAGGCTAGGAGGCATCTACTGAGCCTGTCCATGGCTGCAGGGTCTGAGGCACAGGACTACCCAGGAACCTGTGCTGCCCACATACCCAGCCATCAGGCCCCAGGTCACTTCTCCTGCCCCCCTCCACAGGCAGCAGGAAAGTCTCATCCTGGATTGCACCTGTGAAGCCTGTTCCCTTGCATAGGGTCTCCAATAGCTGGCTCATGCCTTTATGCTGCTGGGGGGCCTGGCACAGGCATATGGGGTCCTAACCCCCCCCCCCCCCGGACAATGCAGCTTTCCAGGTGATCTCCAATCTCGCTGTACATCCCATCACCTGCACAGACAGGTGCATAGATGGTTAGGACCCGGTCCTGAAGGGATCTCAGCTCTCCTTGGAGTCCATGGGTGTAAATACAGTTAAAAAAATTAACTGTTTAAACTATTAAAAATTCTTCGTTTAAACAGAAAAGGAGGACTTGTGTCACCTTAGAGACTAAAATTTATTTGAGCATAAGCTTTCGTGAGCTACAGCTCCCTTCATCGGATCCGATGAAGTGAGCTGTAGCTCACGAAAGCTTATGATCAAATACATTTGTTAGTCTCTAAGGTGACACAAGTCCTCCTTTTCTTTTTGCGAATAGAGACTAACAGGGCTGCTACTCGGAAACCTTTGTTTAAACAGTTAATTGATTAAGCAGCTGGGTACTCCAGCCGGTGCAGGGCTGGCTGGCCAGCTGGCTGGTGAACAGTTAAGGTGGGTTACTGGTAAGACTAATGCTTACCGGTTAACCAGTTAACATTTTACATCCCTAAGTGGGAATGGAGAGTGCTCCAATGGCTCCCCCTCCTGTTCAAAGCTCCCCAGGGGAAATCTGTCAGCATCCCTCCTGAAATGCAGGGCCCACGGGCAGCTCAGTGGATGCAATAGGACAGAACGGGGATGGATGCTGCTAAAGTTGCAGTGACAAGAAGAGGGGGCTGCATCATGCCGACAGGTCTTTTTTCCCTTAATAAAGCCTGGCTCCCAAGCCGGTGCCTGAAATTAGTCTCCTAAATCTATAGCCAGGCCCTGGAATATAAGTTTGACCAGACTTCCCGATGCACAATCAATGGGCACTGAGCTAGCCCTCCGGCTGCCAACGGCCCATTGCAGGACAGGGCCGCAGAACCAGGGAACCTCAAATTATTCGTGCAAGAAACTGCAAGTGCTGCCGGGTCCCTTCAGGTTTGTGTGATGAACCATCACTTCAGAGTCAGGGCTGGGATTTCTGAGGCTCGTTATTTTAGGCAACAAAACGAGGGAGGCCCCCAACTTACAGGGAGCAGAGTTAACTTTGGGCCTAAAGTACATGGTGCCCCTCCAAAAAACCATAAGAATGACACAGCCCTGCTAACCCACCACCCCACACACAAGATACAATGGAAACCCCACAAACCCTCCCCCAAGCAGGGTTCAGACCCCCAAAAGGGAGAAGTGCCAGAGAGTCCACACAATCTGCTAGGAACCGCACATGGAAGACACCCAGATACTGTGGTGATAGACAGCAGGATAAAACCCTGAGACAGAGAAACAAGAAACAATTGAACATGGCAGGAGAGGGAATAGCTTAGCAATTTGGAAGTTCAGGCCAAACTTTAGCTACTTAAATGTGGATCTTGGAGGTTGAACACCAGTACAGCCAAACCACAAAACCAAACAGTAACAAAATCGAGAGGGACAGCGCCCAATACACACCTTTGTTTTTAGTACAAGGTAAAACCTTTATTACAACTTTTCATTCATAGGTATACAACATCTGAAAGACAGATATGGGGAAAAAAAGTAATATTGTTATAAAATGTCACATTTATTGCTACATTACTGTTATATACAGGACAGTTCTCAAAATCTACTTTAAAAAAGTTAGGATTATTTAAAAATTCCAAATAATCCAGCCAGCTGTTTTGACACTTGTATAAAATTATTTTAAAAAAATGAAAACAATTCATATCTTGAGGCACTCGGAAACACAATTTTATCCCCCAATTGTGATTCATTTAAAAGAACAATGCATTTCCCCACCCCCAAATACTTTATTTTTTTGCTGGGTTAGGCATATATATATATATATACTATATATATAGTTCAAAACTATAATGTGTATCTGATTTAAGAACAAGGATTTTCAGCCACTTAAGTACATCTGGATTTACAGGTAGGCAGCATGAACATCAAAAGCCAGAACCAATTTATTTTATTTTTATTTTAAAGGCCAAAAGAAACCATCTAAGGGGTTAAAAATAAACAGCTTCCACAGGCGTTTCCCCTACAGTTGCCCTGCCCCGCCCCCAAGTACTAAAAATATATAAAGGGGAATCAAGTAGCACTTTATTTTCTAAGCTAGTTTGAGTCTTCTCTAGAAAATGGGTCATTTTCCCATAGGCAATG